CAAAAAAAAACATGTTTGGTTCACCTGTTGTTGCTTTTGATTTTATTTGGATAGGACTTTTAAAACTAAAAATCCAACTAATATACCTACCGATTGAAGCGTTATGTAACATGGTCTCTACGAAGAAATTCAACAATTATAACTTTAATAACATTACACATTTTATTTTATATCTATATATATATATATATATATTCCTTACACAGGCCTGTTTGTTTCAGAGGATGTCTTGAAGCAGAAGAAAGAAATGGAGCAGAGTTTGCGCACAAAAATCTTTTTGTCTGTGTTTTGTTTTTTTGCCTTTTTCTTTTGTGAAAGATTAGACAGAAATAAATAAAGCATCCCAACTTGAGGAAGACTCCAAGGGCTTCTTGCCAAATGACTTTAACTTGAAAACATCCTTTTTATGTTCCTCTACATCCACATATAGCATGCCGATAATACATTGAATCCGTGGTTTCAAACCCCATTATATCAAATTTAATCATACGGCCTAATAATAGGGTGTATTTTCATCGTCATTTAAAAATGACGTCTTATTATTGTTATATCTAGAAAGTTGGTCCAAACCTAAAACAAGAAAAACCAAGTGCTAATAAATCATGTAAATTATTATCTTCTAATAACTTATTATTAGACTCATTGATGATTTGATTAGCATCTAAATTATAGAGAAAAAGATGAAGTACAGGAGATTGTGGGAATCTAATTATCAAAACGAAAATGGGTAAGTTTTTATTTTTTTTTTAAATTTTTTTTGGGTTAGAAAAAATTTCAGAGTGTCACTCAAAATCTCTAATATGAGTGAGATTTTGAGTCAGGCCAAATATAAAAAAGATGAGCTAGCTAGGCTCTGATTCACTCCTAGGGGTGTGTTGGGGGGACGAAACGTGACCATCCTTATACTCCAAATCTTCCATCCGGATGCTTAAACGTAGGCATAGATTAAGTGCAACAAAGTGGTAGGATAGAACTTGCATTTCATATTTCATCTATTCCATGAACGGAGCAGGGAAAGATACACGTTATATCACAATGAATTGGTCCCCGTCTATATAGAATATTATTAAGTAATCTACATTTGAGAGATGTTAGAGAGAAAATATAATATACACAATCTTAATCTGGGTGGAGTTTATTTAAATAGAAGATTTAATAAAGTAGTAACTATTCGGCTAACATTGGAGAAAGATGTTTAATTACCCTTCTTGATAATTTTAGGATCTTTATTTTTTTCCAAGTGGAATAAACACTTTGAGAAGTACCCTTTCTCATTTAGTGAGCCATTAAAAAAGTTGAATCCAACAACACGAACATAAGAACAAAAAAACTATAATGTAATGGGATTCTACTACGGGTTTGGATCTTCTATTTTCGAGAAAATTCAGACAGTAATAACACATAGTTAAAAAACACATATTGTTAAAGTCTAATTTACCCCCATCAAACATTTCTACCCTACACTAAGTAAAGAGATCAAAACAGCAAGATTTTACAATTCTTGTCTCAGTATGAGACAACAAGTGAAATGTTACATCATTTTTAGGGTTGACTTTTAGTCCTTCTAGTGTTCCAACTTTGTGACTCCATATGTGTGGTTGGTAAAAAGAAAAAAAAAGCCCCACACAACTTGAATAGGCCCACAATTGTCGTTTCACTTGTGGGGACTAGATTTGCCTGCAAACCATGAGTGATTGATGAATAATAATTAGTGAAACCCAAGCTAAGACAGCCACAAGTATTGCCCTGGGGCCAAGTGTCCTAAGAGGGAGGGAGGGAGGGAGGGAGTGTAGGTCAATTTCACCTTATGGCCAATGGATACAGGACAAGAAGGCAACTGTGGTCCCAAATCGGGATTTGCTATCGTATTAAAAAAATAATGATTTGATGTTACATTTTTATTTTTTATCTAATAAGATTATAATAAATATAAATTTTATTTATTAATTTATTGTATATTATTAATACTTATAAATTAATCAAATCAAAATCTACGATTGGATCAACTTTAATACATTCCTCAATTCTTTTCCTTGGTTATCCTTGCCACAAAACTTGCTGCAAATATATGATGGTTTATTGCAGGGAGGGAAGCTTTTTAATAATGAAGTCATGTCTCTTCTGTTGTGCTGGGGAATATATGTATTCACCAATGATTACCCACCACGTCAGCAGAAGAATACAAATTATAATACATTCAGGAAAATGTACATTTTTTTATTTATGATTTTTAATCTTATGGGAAAATTTCCAACATGAAGCTTGAGGAATATCTCCAAGAGAGAGGATGGTTAATTAGTAACGACATAATTATCAGTTTTGAGTATGCGTCAGTAATTGAGATAAAACTTTATACCGTTGGTTAATTGTTCGTAAATCTTCAGAGTATCTCTTATAAAACTCAAATTTCGAATTTGGAGATGATAATCCCTGAGAAGAGAGGGGCCTCTTCTACTACGCTTGTGTTTGGTTTAATCTACTCATCAACAAGCATGCATACTTACAACACACAGACACAAACATATATGCCCGAGCTCACTAACACACAAAAACATGCGATAAACGCGCATGCAAGCATGCAATGAGTTACCCACATATTTTATGAGTTTCTGCTCAAAACCCCTCATTAAGAAATGGTAATTATGAGTTTATAATATCGAAACTTTGTGACTGGCCCTTAAGCAGACCGACGGTGAGCAGAAAGGCCAACTTGGGATTGATGATGTTTGATCAGATATAGGCATTGGCTCAGTTCCTGCAATCCTGGCAGATATATAATAACCAAACATATTTAGTATGCGGAAACCCATAATTAACAGTGTTATGAATTGGGTAAATGGTGCTTAATGTAAATAACTATATATATATTTGTGGATAGGTGTATATAGATCTACATATACATAGAGTGGTGAGAGAGAATGTGGGTGTGGGTGGGTGCTTTGTGTTTTGTGCCTGTGTGAGGTTGGAGGGGAAATTTATAAATGTATCTATATAATAAAGCATAGTTTTCAATTTATTCACATAAATAGAAAGAGTGCACATACGTAGTCATCCTAGTATATACATATATGTGTGCGTGTGTAGTGTGACTGTGTGCAATTTTTTCTTCTTTTTTTTTTATTTTTTCAGTTTGGGGGGAAGGAAAGAGGCAGTGCAGTTAGGAAGAATGGGGCTGGGGACTCATGCTTGGTGAAGAGATATGGAGAAGGGAATGGGGAGTGAAATAAAAATCCTATGTTTCCTATGAATAGAGCAATGGTGTCATGTGAGGGAGGGTGGATGAGGGTACAAGCTGAGAGAAGCCAATACCCACATGTTTATTCAGTCATCAATGCACAATGGCACCATCTGACTTTCTGAATTTAACCCATGAATATGCCCATACAAATATAACATATTTTGAAATGAGCCATGGAATCATTAAATAAGCACCCATATCAGCATGTCACCATGTCCATTTTTACCTTCTTTTTTTTTTTTTTTCTAGTTCCACAGGTGCTAATCTTTTTAAGGTACAGACATAAAAGGCAAAAGCTGAGGAGGATGACAGTTTCAGTACCTTATAAAAAGAAAAGGCTTACATTGTTTAGTGACCACCATAGACTTATTTACTGAGTTGTACCATTGGGTCTTGTCGCGTTATATTCAAACTGTCCAGCATGATCTTAGTGGATCATTTGATTCAATTAAGTTTTACCACTTAATTATCTATTTTAAATGTTTTTACCTTGAGTGGTATTTGTAATACAGATTTTCAAAATGTAGCGAACCCATATAGTTTAGAAGTATTCATAACTAGTTCTATTGTAGACATTATCCTTATCAACTAGACCTTGGCTTCTAGTTCTAGGGACTGCCCTCTTGAAGATCACAACTTCAGCAATTTAGTGGCAGTTTCAATGTGCAAAACAAGAAAAATGAATATTGTTATCGGGGGTACAATTGATTCCAATCTAAACATTCAATACTCAAATAGATATTTTTAGCACTCGGGATTAGGTTGTCTTTGTGTTGAATATCGGGTTCTTGATACTTAGTTTAACCTTATCTAGTGAATTTTGATTCAATTTATGTAACTTGAGAATGAAATTCAAAATGAACCTAAATTTAAACTCAGACCGTAAATACTAATAAGCAAATTAATTTCAATTTGCTTTTTAATGCAAACTCCCAAAATTTTCCAACATAGGTAACACTTGGGTGGCATGTTTGAGTTGGATTTAAATTTGAATTTTATTACTTGAGTTGAGTCTAAATTAATCTCCGGATGTACTCCATATATCCAAAGTTACACCCCTAATAATGTGTTCACATGATTCATTAAAAAATAAATACAACAAATAGGCCTGCTAACGAAGTGAATTTGAATCAGATTTTGACTTATTCGAATTTGATTTTAAAAGTCCGATTTGAATCTGATCTGATTATTTGACAAATTTTAGTTTAATGGTTTATATCCGAATTTGTTAATAATTTGAAATTCGACCCGCTTTGAATAACTTAATTTAATTATAATTTAGTAAATTACATCTAAATTTCAATTAGGTATATCAAAATTTAAAATGGTCAAATATAAGATAGAGAATTTAGATTCAAATTTAAATTATTAATAAAAAAATATCAAAATAGATCAAATCTGAATCAAAATATAATCCATCGACAAATTTACAAACAAATATGTGTGTCCACACGTGCTAGTGTGGGTTTGGAATGAAAGCGTGCTAGGCTATCCGCGTGCGATTGCCCTTATAAATGCAGGCATGTTGTGGAGGCACTAGGTAGTGGTCAAGCCAAAGGACTGCTGCTTGATACTTGCTCTTTAGCACCGGGAATTATGTACATGTTTGCTATATGCTGTTAGGGTCTATATACAGTAGAGAATACCGGATCAAGGTTCTACTTTTCTTCTAAGCCGCTCTAATTTGTAGACAGCAGAAACATATAGATAGAGACAGATATAAAGATAGAGAAAAAAAAGAGGGAGAGAAAAGAGAGGAATGGAGATAGAGACTGACATGAAGCAATCAAAGTTCAAGAGGATTTGTGTTTTCTGTGGGAGTAGCCAAGGCAAGAAGACTAGCTATCAAGATGCTGCTATTGAGCTTGGCAAAGAATTGGTATTGCTTTTTCTTGTAACAATGGTCCTTTTTTGTTCTGCTATCTCTTTGTTTGTTTTGTTTTCTATGAATGTATGGTGTTTTTTCGGGGTTTTCTATGCTTGGGTTCTTTTTGAATGAGTGTTTTGTCAAATGGGTTTTGTTGGAACATGTTCTTTGCAATGTTCTTTATATGCTTCGAGATGGGTTTTGCTTGAAATCAATCAAAAATTTATTAGAATTAGTTGATTTTCTACAAGTTGGTTCATTGGGTTTTTCATTTAGAATTTTGGGATTTTTTACCTGATTATGAGATGGTTTGTTCTCCATATTGTCATGCAAATGTGCTCTTTTTGAGGTTGTTCAATCAAGAGTGCTTGCATGTTAATGTCTTTAGCTCTGTTATTAAACAGAGCTCTCTCTCTCTCTCTCTCTCTCACACACACACACACAGAAGGCTTAGTTACATTCCTAGTTTAAGTTGCTTTCCCTTTTCAAAACTGGAAGTACATGATTTTGAGCTTGTATGCTTTACATCTACCTCTGTTGCATATATGTCTAGTTCCTTTCATCTCCAAGGTTCACCACTCTTTATCTTCTCTCGCCTAAAGTTTTTGCATTTATACCTCTTTCTCTTCCTCTAATAGATAACAGCACATAAACAAAATGTACTAAGCTCTACTAAATTTGTTGAATGGGTACTCAAACCATTTTACATTTCAATTTAATGTCTGTAAGTGTGCTCTAAGCCTCTAACATGGTGCTTTTATCTAAAATGGATTAGTCAGATATGTTTGAATCCCCAGCTCAGATACTTTCATTCCTCTTCCCAAAAGGTTGCTTATATGTATGGAGTCTGTGGACTCTGTGGCTGATCTGACTTTGCTCTATCGTAGGTCTCAAGGAACATTGATTTGGTCTATGGAGGGGGTAGCATAGGCCTAATGGGATTGGTTTCACAAGCTGTTCATAATGGTGGTCGGCATGTCATTGGGTGAGCTGCTTTCTCTCTCTTCTCTTCCAATACGTTAGTTTTTCCCTCAAAACTCTCAAACAAAGTTTAAAATAACAGAAGATTAGGAAACAGAATGAGTTGGATCTCTTGTTTTAATTGATTTTTCTCTCCATTAAAACTAACTTTTGTCATGTTATTGTCCCTCTGCAGAGTTATTCCCAAGACGCTCATGCCTCGAGAGGTATGTCTGCTATGGCTAAAAAAAGTCTTAGGCCTTTTGTTAAGCAATTCCTTTTCCCATTGTTCGGGTTTAGTTTGTTGTAATTTCTGTATCTTCTTTTCTTTTCTCTTCTTTTATTTAATTTTGGGTCTTTTCCCTTCTTTTTTCTCAAATGTCTCTTTTTAAATTTTATGCTCCATGTCAATCTAGGTTATAGTTTTATCTATGTTTTAAATGCTTATTTTCTGCTTTTTAACTGTTGATTTTTTGGGGTGCTCAAAATTTTGTTTGTTTTTGGTCCTTGATACTTTGGCCTTATCCATAGTTCCACTTGGGTGGCTGGCATCTCATCCCTTACTACATATGTTTTGTGTTTAAAATGGTTTCTCTGAGTTCTTCTTTTTCTGTTTCATCCTTTAATCTGTTCAGCTTGGAGTGTTTCCCTTTTGTGCTTTTCTTCCCTGGCTTTTTCTGTGATCCAAATTGTGTATGAAATACTGGCCTGAAGTTGCTGACTTTAAAGATTTTCAGATTAAGTCCACCACCCTGCAAGCCTCATCATTGCATCACTGCACAAGTGCACAACACTCCATACAAAATTTCAGTCTCTGTGTGTGTGGAGACATATTTCAGTTTTTAAATTTTTTTTTTCTTTCTGGGTCTTGGTACCCTTTTGCAGTTAACTGGTGAAACAGTAGGGGAAGTGAAGGCAGTTGCAGATATGCATCAAAGGAAAGCAGAGATGGCTAGACACTCGGATGCTTTTATTGCCTTACCTGGTTAGTATAAGCCCTGAAAAATCCTCGGTGTTGCACCAAAATTGCAAGGCAAATCAACAAAAGATAAAGTCCCTCAGCTGTTTTTATGTGTCTAATTCTAGAATGCAAGATTCACAGTATCTCTCTTGTTTTGATTCTTTCAAGAGTTCATTGAAAGCCACCTTCTCGGCCAATTATCCTTGGTCTCCTAGTGTCAACCAATAAACTAAACTAGAAAACGAAAATTTTGTCCTCTTGAGTGAAAACACAGAGAACCAAGGGTGTTGAATCTTGTAGGAGTTTTTTAGGATCTCGACTTTTCTTCCTTCAGAAACCACAGTCTACTTGACTAAGTTGTAAAAGAGTAAACAAATAGAGAAGGGAAAGGGGAAAAATATTGTTTTTATTTCTTTGTATGCCAATCTTCTTAATGGGTAATGCTAATAAGTGAATAATGGGTGCATTTCTTCATCAATTTAATCATTTGGGAAAGGGGAGGGACTCACAGGGAGGAGATTATCTTGACATTTTCCTTAGGAAATAGTTGGTTTTTATCAAAATGAATTATTGTCCAGTCGTACAAAAGAGGACCAAGAGGCTATGGTAAAGGGGACATAGAACTTCTCCTGAGAATATTAGTACAGTTTTCTTTCTTGGCTTTTGTATTATGATACCACATATGGTATTGTTAATTCTGTGAAAGCAACTGTTTGAGGCTTAAATGATCACAGCTCTCTCAAGTCTCACAAGCCCCAAGACCCATGATTAGAGAGCATCCCTTCAAACCCTAGTTGTTGACACATCAACATCTTGCACTGAAAATCAGAGTTTTTTTTGCTGTGAATAGCTCTACTTCTGTGATTTAAACTTTCCCCTTCATGTAGTCATAGCCTCTAATGCAACTGTGACTATTTTTCTTACCATAAAAGGAAAAGAACAAAGAGTCACACTTTCACCAAATTGTTTTTGCCAACTAGCATCTGCACTTGACAGGGAATCATGTTCACTCTTTTCGAGGACTTCTTGTCTTCCTCAATTTATTTCTCAACCCTTGCAGAAAACAAATGAAATATTTAATTATCATGAGACAAGTTAGCATGAGAGACATTACGACCTGAATGGGTTGCAGAAGATTATGTTTCTGATTTAGCAGGTGATGGGAGCAACAAATACCATGTTTTGGACATAAAAAAGAGGTCTGGGGCCAACTTGTCATGTAATTTTCAAGGAAACATGATCATCTTAACATATGTAATGGGATATAATTGCTCTTTAAGTACATTTGCGACAATGGCGAAATGAAAGACTGTAAACAGAGTTGAATAATCCGTTTTATCATCAATTGGTAAAAATGATTAACCAATCCTGTAAGCCATTGCACTAGGAGGTATTCTTCTTTCAACCTTCCTCCTAATAGCAGTATTAGTTATTATTGTCTTGTTCGCATATGCTGTTGCCTCTTCCTCGTATCCTTGGGTTGTTACTCTTTTTCCAATTGATTGATCCTTAAAAGTCATTCTTATCTGGCGGTGTAGATAAAGCAACTGCAAGGTTCTCCCAGATGAACTCAAATTAATCTGATGACAAAGTGTAGTGATCAACTAATGTATTGTATGCACAGGTGGTTATGGCACTCTGGAGGAGCTACTTGAGGTGATAACCTGGGCTCAACTTGGCATTCATGATAAACCGGTAATTCTTGTTTCTTCAGTTTTCTGTGGGAGTGCTAACCTGCTTAACCCATTTGAGATTTAAGAGGCTATGATTTACATTTTACAGGTAGGGTTGCTGAATGTGGATGGATATTACAATTCATTGCTGTCATTTATTGACAAAGCTGTGGAAGAAGGCTTCATTAGTCCAAGCGCACGCCACATCATTGTATCTGCACCAACCGCGAAGGAGTTGGTCAAGAAATTAGAGGTAATCTTTGAAGAAAAGAGAACAGAAAGTACTAAATACATTCTTACCTGCACAAATTTGCTGTTAAATTGTTAGATCTGAAGTGAATGGCTTTCCTCAGTTTGGGATAATAGTGCATTTAGCTAAATGACAAGGGCACTGCATAAAGATCACATAGATTCCTCTGTTTGTTAAGATGTCTCGGACCTCAATAAAAATTTGAATTGAGGACTAGTTTGCTTCTACTAGAGATCCCATTCTGCTTAAGAAATTCTCCAAATCTTAGTAGACATTTGTAAAACAACGCGGAAATGGTTTTCCTTCAATTCCAAATGCACACATTCATATGTTAATGAGATTCATCAAGGTGGCCCCAAAAAACAAATCCATTGATCTCATCTTCACACTATGAATGATGCACGACTTCGAAGCATTTAATTATTCTTTGCAAAAATCTCTCTCTCTCTCTCTCTCTCTCTATCTATCTATCTATCTAGCTATCTATTTTCAAAATAGTTATATTTGTGGCTAAATCTTTTCTATCTATCTGATGGCAACTTCTGCCAAAAAAAAAGAGTTCTCATGTATTTTACTTTCTTATTATTAGGAGTACGTTCCTCGTCATGAAGGAGTTGCTCCAAAGTTGAGCTGGGATATAGAGCAGCTTGGCTATCCTCAACAGTATGACATTTCCAGGTGAAAACTGGAGCTGCTGCACAGAAGATCTTATTAGATAGAAATTTGGCAGTTGAAAGAGCTAACTTGAAAATTTTAGATTTTTGATGCGGGGAATTCTATTTTTGTAAATTACTGCGGCAAATGACCTAAATTATCTGAAACTTCACTATTCCCCTCACTTGAAAGTTTGGTTTCCTTTATAAGCTGTAAGTACTAGATGCATATGAAATTCTCCATTTATGGTGACTTCACTGTTTTGTTCTGTTTCCTATTGCTTTTCCTGTTGAAGTGTGACTATGTTTACTGGGTTGGACATTGATGTGCTTGTCACTCTTCTTTCCTTGTAATTGTATCAAACCTTTCCTCATCATGATCGATAGTAGAAACATGAAAAAATTTAACACGCCCCAAATTAAAGAGCTCGAAATGGAGGCACAAGCGGCCGAATGGTTTTCGTTTCTGGGAACAAAATTTCCATTGTTCTCATTACCCTCACTAAAGCTCCAGAAGTAATGCCACCAACCCCGGCCATTTTAGTGAGGACACTAGTAACTGATACTCTATCCTTACATTTGGAATAAAGTAGTGAAGATGCACAAAATAGATTTATACAAAATCAACAGTTGAGTGTGTGATAAAGTGTAAATAATAGAGCAATTGAAGGGGCATAAAAGTTATGTCACGTGTAAATGGTCATGCGAGGGTCACATGAGGGGTTACACCCTATGGAGCCCGAGGTGAATTGACCAGGTCGACAGAAGGGCCGAGCAGAAGTCCCTCGGTTAGGAAGATAAGAATTGAATGGCAATATCGAAGCCTATGTTCAAAGAATCTGATTGTATCAATCTAAGCTACAATCAAGGGAGCGTTCGGGAAATCAGGAAGAGACATAATAGAAAATGCCAAATCTTATGGGATAGGTGGTTATTTCTAGAACGATAAGTCAGTTGGAGACTATATAAGCCAACAGAGGATAGTACAAGTATGCAATTTCCTTCCAACAAAAGTTAAATTCTTTCTTTTCGTTTACTAACTTAAGTATCATAGTGTCTTCGATCTTAGGCAGTTTGTCCGTTTTGTAGGAATTTGAATCCAATGTGGGAGTTGCATAGCTTTCTAAGAGGTCTGGGAGATTTTTGATCTCTTACATTTGGTGTCGTCTGTGGGAATTCGTAACAAGAAGTCATGTTGAGACTAAAGAGCACGCTAGGATCGCCGTTGGAGCCCGATCTGCAGCGTGAAGACTCAGATCCAAACTACCGTGTTTCATTTCCTTCTGGACGCAACATCTGGGTGGATATTTACGACAGTTAAGATGAACAGGAGGAGGACAGAATTTCTTCCGCTAGTTTCAACCCTAAAGACGACAAAAGCCGACGTAATGAACCACAAGAAGGATCCCTCCGTGCCGAGGGGGATACTCCTGCCATCATGAAGCTAGTCCAGTCATTGCAAGACCGCCTTGACGCGCACGACGAGATGTTTAGAAAATCATATGCAAGGGAGAAGGCCTTGAAACAAGAAAACGAAGAATTGAAACAAAAACTGAGAAAAGTAAGTGAGAGAGGATTCAGATCACAAGAATCACCAAACCCGTAGGAGGCACATCCGAACACCTGACAGATGGGGACAAAGAACAGATCCCCAGAGGGCTCGGTACCATAAGAAAACTGAACAGCTAGACGGTTAGGAGGATTGGAGGCAATTCATCACAGGTGAACTTGATAGCGGTTGAAACAACCTGAGCAAAGGTCCGTGCGTGATCTCGCACACAGAGCAACCGGAGGATACACGAGAGGATTAGAAATTTTACCATTCACCAAATGGATAGACCAAGCTCAGATATCGAGCAAATTTGTTGTCCTAAGCTTTAAACTATATGATGGCAAAACGGATCCCATTGCTCACATTCGCCATTATAGGCAATTGATGACAGTGCACAGAAAAAAATGAACCACTGCTCTGTACCATATTTCCCAACAGCCTTGGCAAATCGGCGATGAAGTAGTTTGATGGGCTCCCTAAGAATTCGGTAAATAGGTAGTGTCATCTGGCCAAACAGTTTACGACTTGGTTCATAACCAGTAGTCGACAGCCGAAAGATGTTGGGGGCGCTGTTGACTCTAAAGAAGGGAGCTGGGGAGATGTTGCGAGAATACGCGCACAAGTACTTGGGGACAATGAATTAGATAGAAGCGTGCAATCCAGAAAATAGTGGTCACGTCATTTAAAATCGAGTTGCCCAAGGAGAATCCGTTGTACCAATCGTTGACAAGACGACCAACTACAAGTATGGAAGAACTAATGGCAAGAGTCGAAAAGTATGCCAAGGTTGATGACGACCTCGGTAAGGACACGGGAAGAGAACAAACAGGCAAGAGGTAGTTTGGCAAAGATAAACTGGGAAACTCAGCCTGAGAGAAGGGTAAGAACAAGGACAAAGAAGCCTTCCCCTCAAAATCTCCATACATGGGCGTGAGCACGGTGTTTAAAGAACCAATTTATAAAACATTTTCCCAAATCAGGGGAAAACCTTACTTCAAATGGTCGAGCAAGTTAGGAGGAGATCCAGCCAGGAGGAATCCAAATTTCAAGTGCTCTTACCATCGGGATATCAGTCACATGAAGGAGAACTGTCATTCATTAAAGCAGCATCTGGAGGGATTCGCTCTGGTAGGACACTTATCGCAGTTTATCGACGATGGGGGGAAAGGATAACACCAACCTCGGTAGTCTCCAACACGACCGACCTACCGTAGCAGGGGTCATAACATACAACAACGCTACATATGTTAACAAGCAATTCGGCTTAGGCTTACATCAAGATGGCTGCTCAGGCTGGGGAAGTTTATCAACTGAAGGAGGGGCGTGAACCACCGAGCAAAAGGTCGAGGGTAGACGAATAGCTCGAACAAATAAGCTTCTCGAAGTAGGACTTGATTGGTATACATCAGCCACACAATGATGCCCTTGTGTTGACTATCAGAATTGCCAATTTTGATGTCAAAAGGGTACTAATTGACCAAGGCAGCTCTTCGAAAATCATGTATTTCAGCCTGTTCAAAAAGCTAGACTTGAAAGAAAAAGACCTAGTGGCGTCCAATACCCCCTGGTAGGCTTTAATGGCAGGATGGTAATGCCCAAAGG